AAATCTTACCAAACTATTAGAAGATCTGTTTCAAAGTAAATCTTACCAAACTATTAGAGGGCTTTACTAATTTTTTTGAATAAAATTCATTAATAAATTCGATAACAAAGCCTCTTCAGAGTGGAACACTAATCTCCATGAATACTCTTGAAATAAAAGAATTATCTTAAATTGCTACCAAATTATTGGGGTGATCTTAAGATTAATTTTCAATATTAAATATTTTGATAAAGCATAAACATTTTTTAGGCTTGGATAATTCAAAATCAACTAATACCATCTTTTGGATAGGCGCTGTGAGGGTTTTATAACCTTTCTCACATGTAACCACACTCCCAAATCTAAAATTTAATTTCGTGGATCAGAATCTGCAGACCAATCACACTTGAACAAAAAGATTAATGGTGACTCCCTCTAATCCATATGTGGTGGTAGGTTTACGGATCTATACGTTATGATAATACTATATCAGCAAATGTTATAGATAGCAAAGAATGTAAGGCTTGATGGTAAGATACTATGGTAACTAAGATAGAACTTAGGTATTAGTTTCTTGACTATGCTGCATTTCAAATGTTGATGCAAAAGTATATTAACCACCAAAACCTGTGTAACTTTGAATATATATAGCATGAATGATATAACATAGAACATAAGCTTATTCATTGATGTTAAATTTAAGTTTGTCATCCTATGTACCAAAGAAAAGATAAAACAAATCCTTAAGTAAACTAACAAACTATACACAGTCAGATAGCATGTTTCCATATAATCAATAACTTGCAAAAGAAAAAATACTTTCGAAAAATGAAAAGATGCTCAAGCTAGATGCATACTTGCTAGGACATCATGAACCAAGTTCACAGTTGCTCTTTCAAATGTGCCATAGAATTTTGCGTATCTCAAGTAAGAAAAGAAAAGTTTCAGAGATTATTACCAAAGTGTAACACTGCCCTGACTTAAAGATGCAACTAAGCACCTGCAAAGAAAATCACAACCAACATTGCTAGATTTAAAAAAAAAAAAAAAACCAATTCACAATTATTACTTTTTTGAAAACAAAAATTAAGCTAAAAAAAAACAACTTCCAAAAGAAACCAAAGGGTACCTTCAAGAGCAAGATTCCAAAAATGCATTTACCCTTTTAATTATTTTTAAATACAATAACGACGAAGTTGAAAAGTAAGGGATAAATATTTGCTTTTAGACTTCCCTTACTTTTGCACTCAATTGGATTATCTATAAAATCTCTAATAGCATCAAGTATCTTTGATGCAACTGGTGTTTGCTACCTCATTCTATTTGAACTAAATATATTAGTCCTAAAAGTCTATTGACTATCCCAAATTTACATCTTAAAGAAATACTGGTTCATCATAATCTTGATGTTCCTTCTCTTTTGTTGTAGATTATAAGTGATCTTGACAGATATGAAGATGATCAATGCATAGACAAATTCATTGAAACCATCTCAACCATTAAAAAAAAAAAAAAAAAACATAACTAACTGTTGCAACTACAATAAGCATAGTTCAAAGTGCTATCACCTTTCTCACCTGCTCTTCTATTTTAATTCTCTAGTTGTTTTACCTTATCGAGCAATAGCTGTTTCTCCCTATCTGCTTTGTTCAACTCCTCCACAGTGTTTAGTCGTTTATTCAAATGCAAAATATCTAAAATAGTATGAAGAAAACAAGAAAAAACACTTGAGAAAAACAAAGGAACGTTAATTATTTGCCAGTTAAACAGAAACTTACTTTATTGAGCTTCCTTGAATAGTCACCATATCTCATTAGTTTTCATTTACAGCTCAAAATTAGGTGACAATTCCTATAAACAAACAACAAAATCTTTATCTTCATCTGTTTGTTTTAATGATTAAATCAATCTTAAAAAAATATTAAAATGAGGTTCGAACTCTAATCTTTTTCTCTCCTCTTTACGTAAGATTCAGCTCCCTTGAATGACAAAAAAAAAAAAAAAACAACAAAACCTTCCATGAAAATTAAATTTGCAATATAGTATATATAAAGCTTCATTTTGTGCTACCAGATAATATTCTTTGGAAAAAAAATATATAACTACAGTAATTAAAAATGTTCAAATTTTAAAAAAACAAAAATGCATAAATTTACTTCTACTTCAAACGTGAAATTATAATTGCCATTACATTTTTACAATTGATTAATTTTTATGTAACGCTCAATCATTATTCCAACAGGAAACAAATTTCTCCAACTCACAGCATTTAGTATCCCATGAATCTGTCATTAACAAATTTTTTTGTTAAATTTAACAAATTCACCAAAAACCCAAATCAATCTAGCCAACAAAGAATTTGATTTTTTTTGGGTTAAAAATCCCAAAAAGTATCGTTCAGTCAAAATTTTGACAATCAAGTCACCCGGTCAACAATTTCCGTATTTTTAAAAAATCTTTAAAAAAAAAGAAAGGATAATAATTTATTAGAACTTAAAGGCAAGCTCACATTTTTCTTCTTAATCCTGATTTTTTTTTAGTGAGAAAAAATATAAAATAGATAAATTGTTTAATTTTTTAGATCAAAATAATATATATCATATATAATAATTTAAGATAAATGATTACAAATTATATATTTAAAATAATTTTAATAAATAATTATTAATAAAATTTAAATTTAAAATTTTTTAATTAAAAAAAATGACCTTAAACTTAATCATGATTTCTCCTACTGAATTATTGCTACTCTTTCCACTTTTCAAATTTAGGGCTCCTTTAGATTGCAAATTAGCGGCGGCAAAGTCATGCTTTTCCTAAAGAACCACCTAATGTCTACATTCTGTCACTTTCTAGAGCCTTCTTCATTTTTCGTCAATTTTTTTTTATTACTTGATTAGCAAAAATGAAAAAAAAAAAATGGAAAAGGCAAAATTTATTGAAAGAGAAGAGGAAAGTCATGCAGAGAACTTGGGGGGGGGGGGGGGGCACCGGAAGCATAGGTTTTGTGAATAAAATAATGAAACACACGTGGCTGTGACTTCTTGCGCTGTCTTTTCGTATGGAACCAAAGCATTGCATTCTATCCCTATCGTTTTCACTTTTGCCAGCTTTGTAAAGCAAATTTTCATTGTCAAAATTTACCCTTGAATTCTTTTTAAGGCATCACATAGGTGTGCAGCATATCACAGTACGGTACAATTTTAATATATAGTTATTGACATAAAAATACACAAAAATAATAAAAAATAAAAATATATAATTTAAAACTTTAACAAAAATTATATATAAATTAAAAAATTTAAAATATATATTTTATATTTAAAATACAATAATTTAATATTAAATATTATTATTAAAATATATAATAATTTAATAATAAATAATTTCAAATTTTTAATAATTATGTTAATATTATTTGAATAGTAGCCACTTTTTGTGTATTAATTATAGTCATTATAGGCTTATAGAACGATATTTAGTTATTTTATACACCTAAAAACCGGTTTATTTAGATAAAATCCTACACTTTATATTATTATTGACATAGCTTTGCAACTTTTGTGCGACTATCTTTTGTCTAAAAACAACATATAAATTATTTTATTATATTTTAAATTTGTAAAATTTTATTATAATGATTTTATTGTTATTATTATTATTATTATGGATGTAATATTATTTTAATAATAATGTGAAGAGCATTATTTTGATGAAAATATTGAATTTTCAGAAAAAATTTAAACACCAAAAAGTTTTTTTTATATAAAATCATCCAAATAACAAAAAATATCAAATTTTTGAAAAAAATATGTTCATTTTTTAAAAAATTATTTTTAAAAAATTATTGTCAATAAAACAAACAAAGCCTTATATAAGTATATAGTACAGGCATGAACTCTACCCAAAAAGGAAAGGCAAAATAATTTTAGTATCAAGAATTGTAATTGGCAAAGCAAATTATGATAATTCTTATATTTGTGTTTATTTATTTTATATAAAATATGTATAAAATATGAAAGTTATTATATCAAATTTATATTATTATATTATTATTTGTATGAATATTTAAAGTATTTAAAATATCATTAGTTTTTTTTAAATTTATTTTTATTAATATAATAATATTTTAAATATTTTATTTATTATTTAAATTTTAAAAATATTTACTATTATTATTAAATTGTAACAAATTTATTATTTATTTACATTTATTATTAAAATACTAATATATATACACGTTTTTCAATAAAATATAAACTAATATATTTTAAACTAAAAATATTAAAAAATGATTAAAAATAATCATGTTATTAAAATAATATTATTATATTAAACAATATTAATTATTAAAATAATATAAAATTATTTACTATATAAATATTTATTATTTATTATTAAAATAATAAAAAAATACTATTTATTTTTGAAATATTAAAAATCTTTAAGTTTAATAATATACAAATGCAAATATTTAAAATTAAAATATTAAAAAATTTAAATATTAAATATTAAAATTAATAAATTAATATTTTATTATTTTTAATTAAAATCAAATAAAATTAATTTTTATTAAAATAATATTATTTTGAATCAAATCAAATTAAATCCTAACTTAAAAAAAATTATATTTAAAGTTCAATATGATTAAAATTATAAAATATTAAAAGATTTTTAAAATTAATATTTTAATTTTAATTAAAACTAAATGATATATTTTTTATTAATAAAATAATATTTCAAATCAAATCAAATTAAATTTAAACTAAAAAATTATATTTTAAGATCCGACTTCACTTGAACTATTCTCACGAATTTAATAAATGATGCTACTTATAAGCAGTACTTTTTTAAAATTAAAGATAATTTTTTAAAAAAATTATTTTATTTTTAATTAACCAATAAATTATTTTTTCATTAACTAATCCATTTTTGTATCAAACAAATATTAAAAAAATATAAAATTTTAAAAATTGTTTTCCGCGAAAAAAAAAAAAGCCTAATATTTACCTGTTGTGAGTTTGTTATTCTAATACTCAGCCAAAGCCAAGTTATCCCAAATAACTATCGAAGTCGTCGATGGTCAAATGCCATAAATCGGGAGGAGGTCTGATCTCATCCTTTCATCAGGACAAGTTGGGACTGTAGAGCTTGTCTAGATTCTAAGTCCGATCTTATTTCTTGCTCTGATTCAAATCAATCCTTTTGTTTCTGAACAAAAGATCATGGCTTTGGAAGCTGTTGGAGTGACAGTGGGAGGGGCACTTCTCTCAGCCTCTCTTCAGGTGCTGTTTGACAGGATGGCTTCGCGCCAGTTCCTGGACTTCTTTCGGGAACAAGAATTTGATCACGATCTCTGGCAGAAGTTGAAGCTGAAGCTACTAGCTCTTAACTCAGTGCTCACTGATGCTGAGGAGCAGCACCGAATCATGAACCTGTCGACCAAAGAGTGGCTGGCTCAACTCAAAGACGCTATTTATGATGCAGAGAATCTGTTGGATGAGATTGCAACTGAAGCTCTGCGATACAATAGAGAAGCTGCATATCAAACTCCTAAAAATCAGGTAAGAGCTCTTAACAATCGTCTTGAACAGATCTTTAGCAAAGTGGAACTTATAGCTAAAGAAAAAGACTCCCTTGGTCTGAAGGAAGGCCTAATTAATAAGAAATCAATGCCAAGATTGCCTACAACTTCCTTGGTCAATAAATCTGAAGAATGCTTCAGGAAAGATGAAAAAGAGCAGATCGTAAGTTATTTACAATCAGATAACAGTATTACTGGGAGTGGAATACCTGTAATTGCAATTGTAGGAATAAGTGGGATCGGCAAGACAACACTTGCTCAGTTTTTGTACAACGATGAAAGAGTGAAGACACATTTTGAGTTGAGAGCTTGGGCTTATGTCTCAGAAAGATCTGATGTTTTCAAGGTGACTGAAACACTTTATGACTCAGTCGTATTGTCGCATTCTAATATTAAAGACTTGAATGTACTTCAGGTTAAATTGGGCAGCGTATTGATGGGAAAGAAGTTTCTGCTTGTCCTGGATGATATGTGGAATGAGAGTTCTATTGATTGGGATCTTCTACAAAGACCATTTCAAGCTGGAGCCCGAGGAAGCAAGATCATTGTGACAATGCGTGGTGAAAGTGTTTCATCCCCCATGCATTCTTTTATCATTCGCCCTTTGACACCGTTGTCTAATGAAGATTGCTTCTCATTATTTGCAAAGCATGCTTTCGAAAGTGAGCATCAAATTGATGAGGATTCTACACTGAAATCAATTGGTGAAAAGATTGTGGAAAAGTGCAAAGGCCTGCCTTTAGCTGCTAAAACACTTGGAGGCCTTTTGCATTCTAAACTAGAAGCTGAGGAATGGGACAAGGTATTGAATGGTAACATATGGGATCTACCAAGTGGTATGAACGATATTCTACCAGCCTTAAGATTGAGTTACTATCATCTCCCTTCTCACCTAAAGCGATGTTTTGCTTACTGTTCCTTATTTCCGAAGGGCTATGAAATTGAGAAGGGGAACTTGATTCGATTGTGGATAGCAGAAGGGCTAGTGTTGCAGGGAACTGGTACAAGAAGAATGGAGGAAGTAGGTGAGCAGTACTTTAATGAGTTACTCTCGAGGTCATTTTTTCAGCAATCCACCTATGATGGTACATGCTTTAAAATGCATGACCTTGTCAATGATTTAGCTCAACATATAGCGGGGGACTTCTATTTCAGATATGAGGATGGTTGCTTACCCCTAAACCCAGAAAGGGTTCGCCATTTATCATTTGTACCAAATCAAAATGAAGCCACTGAAAAATTTTTTGAGGCCTTTTATGACCTATCCAACCGTCTACGAGCGTTCTTACCGCTCAAACTGTCACCACATTCTGCTAGGGTTGCTCTTAGTGCTACAGTCTTGAGCAATTTGTTTCCAGAGTCCAGTTGCCTCCGTGTGTTATCACTATCTCCTTATCATATTCTAACCTTGGATGACTGGATTGGAAACTTGAAACATTTACGCTACTTGGACCTTTCTCGCACTGAAATTGAAAGATTACCTAAAAGAGTGTGTTCTCTGTATAATTTGGAGACACTGAAGTTGTCAGGTTGTCAGCGCCTCACCCAGCTGCCGACGGACATCCCAGTTCTTACTAAATTAGAGCATCTTGATATTAAGGGAGCCAGTGTGAAGGAGATGCCACCAAAATTCGGTAATTTGAAAAGCCTTCAGTCGTTGAGTACTTTTGTTGTGAGCAGATATTGGGGATCAAGGATTTCTGAGTTGAAGAAACTTTCCCTTCTTTGTGGTACTCTTACAATTCTGGGCCTGCAAAAGGTGTCTCAAACAGAGGAGGCCTCCGAGGCCAGTTTGAAGGATAAGAAGTACCTTCGGGAGTTAATTTTCCAGTGGGCACCGGGTACTCGTGTTACAGACACTGAGGTTCTTGACAAGTTAAGGCCTCATCAATATTTGAAGAAGCTCCAGATAAGACACTTTGGTGGTAAAAAACTTCCAGACTGGATAGGAGATTCTTTTTTCTCCCAAATGGTTTCATTGCATCTATTTGATTGTGGTAATTGCTCCTTGCTGCCTCCACTTGGGCAACTGCCTCGTCTGAAAGAACTCTATATTTCAAAAATGAAACAAATAGAACATGTGGGTTCTGCATTCTGCGGAAGCAATGTCGAGCCATTCAAATCCCTGGAAATTTTAAAGTTTGAAGAGATGCCAAATTGGAGAAACTGGTTAGATTTTACTGAAGGGGGATTCCCTTCCCTCCAAGAGCTCACAATTCACAACTGTCCGAAACTGATGGGGAATCTACCCAACCATCTTCCTTCCTTGGTAAAGCTTCACATCATTAAATGTAGGGAACTGACATTCCTTGATCCGAATCGGACAAACCAGATGTGTTCTACACTTGAGCGTTTGCATATAATGAGTAGCTGCGATGACCTCAAATTGTTTCCATTAGACCGCTTCCCCAATCTTGTAAAGCTTAAACTCCAGGATTGCGGATCTCTTAGCTCTATTCGGATACGACAGGAACATGAGCATCTCACATGTCTTCAAAAGTTGAAAATTAAGAGCTGCCCTGGTCTTGGGACCTTCTCTGGAAGAGAGTTGTCATCTCTCCAGAAGTTAAAAATATCCCATTGTGCAAATCTCTTTCATTTTGGAGAGGGCGATTTGCCAACCAATCTTCAAGTATTTTGTTTTAAGAAATGTCCAATGCTCCAGAATGAGTGGAGGCTGCAAGATATGAGGTCACTAAGACTTTTCAAGGTCGATGGCGTCGTACGTATTCCTTCACGACCTCTTGGTGGAGGTCCAAGACGAAGGTTTGAGTCCACATCAAGGTCAATATTGAATAATCAGATTACAGGTTCGTTTCTTTAATTTTTTATCTTGAAATTCACGGTCTAAAATGCTTATTAATACTATTTTATTTCCAAAGTTAAAAACTAAAATTTGGTAATTTCGGTTGGCAGGTGGCAATTGGCTGATCGACGAAGGAGTGACTAGCGGTGGCAATTGACAGATAGATATTGTTACGGGTTCGAGTTATTTTTTATTCATATTTTTTCAGACTTAGATGATTTTGGATTAATATTATTTTGCGTAGAGTTTTTTTTGGATTCATATTGTTACGTGTTCGAATGATCTCAAATTCAGATTATTTTAAATTTGAACTACTTCAAGTTCAAACCATTTTGGATTTAAGTTAACGTTAGGTTAATTGTGATTTCAAGTCTTTCCAAATTTATACTGTTTTATAATGGTTTCATGTTATGATAATTATCAATTCGAATTTTTTTAAATTCGAATAATTTCATGTTTGGATTATTTGAGTTTTTGATCATCTTTATTTTTATTTTTTTCGAATTCACATCTTTAGCTTTTTTAATCAATATGTTAGGATCTAATTTGATCTTGGGCTTATGTGGATATTTTTTCCAATTCAATCACATTTTACCATTTTTAGAAACAACATCAATCCAGAGACTATCACAACACATTTGTTACCAGCTCAAAGCATTTATCCTAAATTTAGAATTTAATTCAAACAATTCATTTGCTACATTTAAGAGTCAGTATTTAATATTTAATAAAAACCTTTTTTTTTCCTTTTTAAAAAATATTTAATAAAAACCTTTCTTGAATTAAAAATATATCTTTTTCAAATGGTCTAAAAGAATTCTACTGTCAACAGTGCTTTAATGTACATGGTTATGGCATTTGGATTATAATCTTTGCTTGTTATATATATTTATTTTTAATTTCTTAGTTTCCTATTCAGATAACTTTATACATCTGATTGAAGATCAGTCAATTAAATGAAGTTTGACGAAGTACATATTTAATTCAAGTTGAATTGGAAGAAGCAAACGAAAAAGAAGGCCTAGAATTTGAAAATGCATGTAGCACCATAATAGAAATTGAAAAGTTATTTCAGACAAAGGTTTAGTGACAGCTTTAATTAGTGGCTGTAACTCAAAAAACTTGACATAGATGGTTATAATTAGTGTCTTTTGAACTTTGCATCTTGCGTCTTATGCTTTGAATTGATTTCTTCAAATACAATTCATTCAAAATAATTTGTTCTTGGGACTACTTATTCTCTGGGTTTATTTCCACAATTAGGGTGGGGAAAATAAATTCTTGGGTGAAAACATGGTGATTCATGCTTTGTTTTTACTTTGTTATTACAGAATCCTATATTAAATGTATGATGGTAGTGTAAATTTAAAAAAAAAATTGTATTTTCAAAAAAATAAGTCATTTAATGAAAATATCAAGCAAGTTTGATTATAATCAAATAAAAATATCCTACCATAAATAAGGCCATTAAGAAGGCAATATAGTAGCAAGGCTAATTAACATAAACATCAATTAAAAGAAACTTAAATCAATAAAAAGATTTAAAAAGATAAAAATAAAGTATTGATTTCACTTATTTAACTTGTTTTAGAGATTATATTAGTATAATTTTAGTCAAACTTTGTTATTTAATGGACAAAAAGTATTATTATGTAATTACAATTTGTTGATATAGTAATTTAACCTATTCTACGATCCTCTCGAGATCCTATGAAGCATGATTTAAAGTGTCATACTTGCTAAGGAGGTAAATCAAATAAACAAAGACTACTTTGGCATTTACTTTATTCTATATTCTTGTCTTATATTCCATTTAGGGATGTTAATGAGTAGAGTATGATTAGGATAAAGTATTTTTTATTTTCAGATTTTTATATTATACTTATCCTTATCTTCATTCCCACAGATATTTAATGAGTACGTGTGATTTACATACATATAGTTTTTTGAAAAAAATAAAAATAAAAATATTTTAAACTTTTGTTTTATTCTTATCGTGTATATTTAAGTAATTTCTTTTATAAATATATATTAATATATATTTTTTCAATAAAAATATATTAATTCTAATTAATCTAAAATAATAATTTATATTATTTGTAGACACCTCAATCTATCTAGGGGTCTACAAGATCAACTTTGATAATTAAAAAATTAAAAAAATAATAAAAATAAAAAAACAAAAAAAAGTGTTTGAGTTTGCATAAAATTAGGCTGGTAGAGTTTGGATTTGATTCAAAGATTGAATTTCAATTACAAGAAGAAATTAAAATTGATCAAAAATTCTTCTGATTAATCTTTATAAATAAACACTGAAACACAAAAAAATTGAAGTGATAGAAACACAATCAGCAAAGAAAATATAAAGAGGTGTAGCATAATAGGGAGGACGGCGCACCATCAGGCCATTGCCAACCAACGTCCACTGACAGCCAGTCTAGTGCCACTATGGATCAGAATGCCTAAACCATTGAACACGAATTACCATCTGCGATAGAAACCAATTCCACACAATCACAGTGTTGGTTCTTCGTGGTTCAAGTTGGTTCTGTTTGAATAAAAAGAATCAGAGTTAAGGGTCTGGTAAAGAAGGAAATAAAGAGAAAAATGAGTTGATAGGCTAGCACATTGGTTTGGTTTGGTGGAATTTCATCCTCACGTCAACTTTGGAATTTTTTTTTTTCAAATTCTTTAATTGTTTGGTATTTTTTTCTCTTTATTTGATTGTTTATTCATTTGTTTTGTTTTATGCATAATTGTTTATTTATTCACTTTGTTTTATGGTTTTTATTATTTGATATTAATAAAATAATAAAAAATAAAAATTTTGAGAATAAATATTAATCATCCAATGATGAAATTTATAAAAATTTCAAATGGTAAATTTTTATGAAATTCCTAAGTGAGAAATTTTGTTTAAATTTATCCTAAATGATGGAATAATTTAGATAAAATTTCAATAACAATAATTAGTATTTATTTTCAAACCAAAAAAATTAAAAATAATAAAAACATAAAAATATAAAATCTTTTGAATTAAATACAAATTACCCAAGGATGAGATTCTTAGAAATTTCAAATGATAAATTCTTAAGAAATCTCTAGGTGAGAAATTTCCTTTAAATTTGACCCAAATGGTAGAATGATTTAGATGAAATTTCAATACAAGTAATTGTATTCTTTTTCACATAAAAATTTGGATTAAAAATATTTGATAATTATCTAAGGATGAGATTCTTAGAAATTTCAAATGGTAAATTTTTAAGAAATCTCTAGGTGAGAAATTTTCTCTAAAATTGACCCAAATAGTGGAATAATTTAGATGAAATTTCAATAAAAATAATTGTCATATTATTTTCTTTCCAAGAAAAAAAAAGAATTTTTAAATAGGCCCAAATGGTGGAATAATTAGATTTATTTTCAACAAAAATGGTAATAATAAATAATAATAAATAAATCTTTTTCCGACGACGGAATCTCTTCAAGAAATCAAATGGGATTCTTGAATACTCTTGAGGTGAGAAAAATTTTTTTTTAGAATACTACCAGATGTAGAATCTTAAAAATTGTTTCTAATATTTAACATAAAATTTGAAGCCATTAGATTCTAAACCTTAGGATAAATTTGAAATAATATGGTACCATCCTTTGAATAGGCATATGGGGGTGCTATAAACTTCCTCACATGTAACCGAACTGTCAAACCCTATTCTAGTTCATAGACCTAAACCTATTCTTTTAGGGACCCATAGTCAAGCTTAGAAATTTCTTAAAAGGATAGATTCCCTAAGTGACCAATCACACCTAATAAAACATTGTTGGCGACTCTATTCATTTGTTAAATCTAGCTATAGATTTTTGAATTTATATGTTATGACATTATTTAATAAAAAATTTATTTACTAAATATATATAAAATCTATGAGGTACAAGTACGAGACAAATATTATATTATTCGTCTTTATTCCCATACTCAATAAAAATTTAAAATCTTATCAATCTTTATCCTCATACCCACAATATAATACTTATCCCCATCCCTATTCGAATAAAAATTTAGGTTTTTCATTGGATATAAGTAAGGTTGACATCCTTAAATATTCCATTATCCCATACAAATATTACTCAAACTTAATTTTACATCCAAAACCTAAGTTGACAAACAAAAATTGGTAATGTTAGAGTAAGAAAGGTCATTTTAAAAGCATGGAACAACATATTCCCACAACTCTTAAGCAAAGTTATTAATTGTTCTTTGAAAAGTGTCAATTCTCCAAATCCAATAAATTGAGAAAGAAATAGAAAGGAGCAGCTATTTGAAGTTTAGTTAAGAAGCATACTATTAATAAATCAAATCGAACAATACAATGAGTGTCAATGAGATATTAAGATAATGCACTCCATATTTTTAACAAATTCATATAATCCCCAATCAGTTGAACACCAAATTTCAAACATAAATATCAATTGAAACTTACTGTTAAAATAGGAATTTAAACATAAAATCACTGAAGGCATAAACATATATATTCACTTGATTAATTCAAAACACAAACATACAGTCTAGACATGAGGGTAAAGGGTCACATCTTCACAAAACAACTAAAACTAATATCAATTTTAAATTAAAAATAAAGGGTAAATCAATTAAAAATTAAAATTAAAAATATAGTCTATACATAGATTTGCATAAATTGCTTAACTTTATTATATATGGAGGGAGAAGTAAGGATGCATATTGTGCAGCACATGATTTAATAGGAGCTTTTCAAGCAAGTTGCTGCAATTGTTTAGGTTCTAATGTAGCTAAATTAAAAGATAAAATTCTTGGCATTAATTGGAAAATTAGCCTAACAAACTAATATTAGAGCTAGCAAAACATTTTTCATTTTTGCATACTCATTTTGCTTATTTTGGATTTTGGAATAAAAACATTACAGCTTTAAAAAATTAAATAAAGAACATATAACATCAAATAACAAACAAATGATCTAAAATAAATGATAAAAGAAAACAAATGAATGAAAACATATATGACAAGGAAAACAGTAATAGACATAATATAGAGGAAAAAATAGTACATGCTTACCCAAGATTAAAAATGCATCTAAGAACAATATATCCTGCAAATCTCACAATAATATATTAGCTATACAACCTTAAAAAATAAACCAGAAACTCAGTCAAACCAGGGAAGCAAACAAAATTATAAATATGATCAAATGAGTAACATACAAAATAAAATAACAAAAAAACTGGAGGATGAAGGAAAGAAACCAAAGATAAAAAAGAAGAAATTTGACATATAACATAAAACTGATGAATTACTCATTTTTCATTTCTCTTCTTTT